ACATCAGCCTGTTTTCAGGGCCTTTTTTTTGGCTACATATTTGTTATTCTTTTGCTACATGCCTCCCCATCTGCTTGCCCTAAGTTTCTATGGCATAAGTCAGTTTCTGTGACCTGTTTTCATTTTAAAAAAAGAACATTGGCACAAACCTAGCCTGTATGTATTTTTTGTATGTCATCGAGAGTATTTAAATGATTTTCAATCAGAAAAAAATGTGTGATTAACATGCGATTAATCGCGAGTTAACTTAGGCATTGATGCGATTAATCGCGATTAAAAAAATTTAATCGATTGACAGCACTAAAAGCGACACATCGAGTGAAAGCATCCATGCTATCTGGGGAAATATCTGCTACTGAATGAGGAACGGAGGAAATCATTTTGATCCAGATCTTTTCAGCAGAAACTGAATGTTCCTGAATGTTTCTGAAGTTTGTGTGATTTGGCTAAATGAAGGCTTCACTGCACATCCTGTATACCTGGACTGCATCGAGTATTTTCCATTTCTTTCTATATATTATGATCACACATTTAAAGAGTGAAACATGAGGTTCTATTGTAGGATTGTCGCTTAATTTACCAAATGAACTGGAACTAGTTCATTTATATGTTAGTGAACGTAGAACATTTTTTTAAATAGTGAACTATGAAGGTGAGCTAGTTCATTTTTATCTGTGTGAACCGACCTTTGAACCAGTTCTTTTTAACTATGAACTGGCTCAACATTGACCACATCTACACACACACTGACAGTAGCTGTGTTTCTTCCCTAAATGTGGCCGTCTAGCTCTGATCTTCTGCACATTTTAGAAATGTCTCTGCTTCCTCACCTGAATTAAATGGCTGCATCACTGTTTGGTAGAGATGCATTAAAGGAGCAATTCACACTGAAGGCGTTAATGCTCATTTAGTTTTTTTTAAATAATGAAATTCGATTTTGCGTGGTTGTTCACATTTCCAAATATACGCAGCTTGTATGTGATCTGCCGTGTGAACTGCATTCATACATCTTATCTGTTCAGCAAGCGCATTAGAGGACGCAATGACATCATAAGTAGGGGGCGTGCTCTGTATTTTAGGGAAGTATACATGGATGGCCGGGCTGGACAGTATCTTGCAATCTTTTTTATTTTTATTTTTTTGTTCTGGCTTCTTTTCATTTCGTTGACAATTTTATATTTTCCAGAAGTTCAAAAAGAAAGACTGATCCCCACATTATCATCCGCCATTGTTTTTTTTTCATGCTTTTAGGTCTGAAGATGCAGAATAGTGACCTTTGAGTATTGATGACGTTCGGGTCGGATGAATGCGACCACATTCTGATCCGATACATATCTAATCTTTTCACATTTGAAAAGATCAGATACTTATCGGATTCAGGACCACATAGCCAAGTGACCTGGGTCGCATTGGAAATAATTAGATTGGTGTTGTTCAGACTGTCATGAAAGATCAGATAAGGGCAAAAAATTTGGATTTGGATCACTTCAGGCTGGATCACTTCAGTGTGAACTTAGCCTTAAAGGTGCAGGAAATCAGACCTGGAAGGCTCTCCAGTCTAAAACAGACTGAACCAATCACAGAACAGTAGGCGGAGCCATAATGGAGCAGTGCTTTCCTGGGACTATAATACACTATAACTATAACAGACAAGTTTGCAGCTGCAAGATAATAATAATGGTTTATTGGTGCTCTGCTGTGAGAGATTTGCTTGAAAAAAATAATAAATAAAAAAAATTAGCATCACATGCGTATTTATCTGATTGTTTCTAAACTGTTTTCACTGACTCTGTTGGTCCTTTCTTTGAAATCAGGCTCCAACTTTTCTTTTCCAGAAGAAAGTTGTGGTGTAAATAAAACAACAAATAAAACATGCTGGCATCATCCTCCCATTTATATAACCTGTCATCTTCATCTTTATTGCCGATAGTTACATCTGATTGATGATTATGTGATGTTATGCGGAAAAAGAAGAGAAGCGGAAAAAAACCCAAGTTCAATTTAGCTAAAAACAAAACAAAAAAAGCCTCATCTTGGCACAAAAGAGTTTTGGAGTCTCAAATTGTTTTTGAGTTTTTGGGTTTGTTTTAATTGCCGGGTTTCCATTATGCAGGTTTATTTTTCATAATTGCCATTTCCATCTTTTGATGGTCAGTAGAAACCTAGCTTGGGATTTCATGTTAGAAATTAAACCAAAAAGTGTTTTTTTTAAAACTGGAGCCAGAACAAAATGGTTCTTTACCTTCAACTGTAAAGATGGTTTATTTCTAAACATATAGTCATAATGAGAATTATTTTAGTGGTTAAAAACTAGTTTGAACTACATAAATAAGGACCTTTAATTAATCAAAAAGGAACAGTAATGTGAGCAAGTTGCTAAACTTTTCCTAATGAAGCTTTTTCAAATATGTTGTTTTGCAGGATGGCGAAGACACTGCGCCACCTACAGGACGTGGGCTGAGTCGCAAAAGAACCATAAAGAAGAAAAGAAGGGCAAGTTCTGCAAACATCAATATAACGATTACAAACAGCGTTAAAAGTTCTTCCTTAGCTTGCTTTGCTTCAGGGTTTATCGTGTAATCTCTGTTTTCTTTTTTACGTTTGTCAGGTTGTGTCTTTTCGAATCAAGAAAACTCTTCCCAAAATGTCCAAAGAGGTATTTGCTGCTGTGTGGGAGATTTATGCCGTTGATATATGAGAGTTCTCATAAGAAACGAACAGAAACTCAGAACATCTGACTGCATGACTGTTTAACATGTCGCATTTCTAACTGTACAGAACTCCAGTAAGATGCCTTTGATTGAGGAGAGCGTTGAGTTGGAGGAGCTGAACACCTCGCAGGTTAGAAAGAGTTTCTACATTTACTAATAAATCATTTATCTTGTTATTTTTCTGAGGAATAAACCTGGATTCAGAATCTCTAAACCTTCTTTTAATAAAATGTTAAATGAACAACATTTTAAAATGATTCAAGGAATTAAAATTAAGAAGTGTTTAAACTGGTATATAGACTCCTTGATCCTTGTTATGGTTTTAATAAGCTTCCTTCTGATGCAGAAGGAGTTACAGTTACTTTAAAGGAAAAGTCCCGTCAGCAAGGAATAATCAGTGGATCATTATTTATACCAAAACTAATATGGTCGCAGTGATTTAATTAATTTTGCGTTAATCAGTAAAAAAAAAAGAATTGGGCGCATTCAATGGCCGTTTCTCAATCTGTGTACCTGTGCATTCTCGTGTGCTCGTGAAACCTCATCATCCTCAGCACTAGTACTGTTCCAATTCACAAGAACAGCAGACCGAGAACGGACAAATTCCCCGGACGTTGTTCTCACCCCTCCCTCTTTACCCAACATGCATCAGAGCAGACTTTTCCGTTCTTGAGATTGACAGCTGTCCCAGCATGCACTGCGGCAACTTTCAATGGAGCGCCCACAGAGCTCAGAGTATTAATTTTAAAGTTCTCTCCTCTGTTGCCGTTATTTAATTTGAGGTGAGAACATTATACTTTTAAGCATCACTATATGGCCCATTTACCAATTTAATGGGTAATTAAACAAAAAAATTCCAGAGGACTTCCGAGGCTAACGGTAGTCAGGTCTAACGTTAACCCGTCTGCAACAGCCCTCTCTCTCCATAGCTGTGCGTGAAGAACCGCTGGCTCTGATGGCGATTTTTTTATTTTTTTTTTATTTGGTAAAATGTTCTTAAGATTTGTGTTTATCTGACTGTGTTAGTTATTATTCCATTAATAAATGAAAAAAAGTACGCCTCACTCCTGCCATCTTCCAGCAGTGACGTCACGGTGCGGTAAGCCTAGCGCCATTCTACCCGCTTTACAAGCAAAATCAATGGGCAATCAACAACAATTATTGAAGATTTCCAGAGGACTTCACCATTGCAATTCACCAGAGCTATAGTGAAACTGACAATGCCCACATTTATGGCAGTTAGATGTTGGAATAAATCGGGTAAAAGTGGAAAGAAAACAACCTTCCCGATTCCTGATCCTCCTCAAGTTGCCAACTTGAAGAGGCAGGATTTTCCTTCAAACTTCTGGCCAGAGAAAAAACACGTAATATGAAGCCAATATTTCAAAGAAGAATGTTTTCAAGATGACTTTGATAATAGTGTGTTGTGACAAACACCAGATACGGCCGATACCGCACCGTGACGTCACAAGGTGGCAGTAGTGTTCCTTGACAAACATGGATGCCTTCACTAAAAGCACAGACGTATTAAATTACTCTTGATTAAAAACACTTATCATTTATTGAACAGTATGTAATAATGTGATTCAGAAGTTTGTATTCTGAACCGACCAGACTTTTCCTTTAAAGAGGCTGCGTTTCCACAGAGATTGCATTAGAAATGTTCTAACTACAGAATGCAGGTTAGAGGACTGAAAACCTTTAACATTTTTTTGCTGGTTTTCGTTTCCTGCAGCATTTTGTTTTTGCCAGAAGCTACAGAAGCTTTAGTCTATCTCAGGTTCAAAGTAAGAAATCTGAATGGATCCAGTAAGGAGCTGATCAGCCCTGCAGTCATCTGTAAATGATGTCACCTTTACAAGAATAAAATCATATTATCGCACCATTTGTTACTAAAATTCTCTCCTTTTAAGCACTGAAAATTAACCATGCTTTCTGATTAAGAGAAGAGAATCAAACAGCTGCTTTTTCTGTTTGGTTTCAGGAGAGCACGGTGTTGATGGAGCCTTTAGAGATGGCCGCTTATCCAGCTGAAGAAACTCAAGCCCAGGAGGAGCAGGTGGGTTTGAAATGAGAGTGTTAAAGTCGTAGGGAAGCGGCTGTTCCAACCGTTGCAGATCCCAATTCTCCTTAGTGGTTCCGACTTTACATGAGTGTGTATTATAAAGGGGGTGGGATTGTTGTGGCTGAAGGTTCGCAAGCAAGTTTGATCGTGGCCGGTGTCTTGGAAGCGCCTTGCAACGGAAAAAAAAGCAACGGAAATATTTTTTTTAAGACAGGATTTTTTTTTTTTAAAGACATCATAGAATAATCATATAGGATATTTGTTGCTGGTTCTTAAGGTCTCTGAATAGGGTGTGTAACATTGGCTGAGCTGAAAATGGCATATTTGCTGATCTATGAGCCCCAATGCAAGCCTGGTTAAAAGCCCCAGAATGAAACGACAGGTTTTCTTCCTTTTATGGTATGATCATGAATATTTAGATGAGCTGTGCTCTGATTGGTTGGTTTACAACAAGCAAAGCTGAGCAAAGACGCATCATAGCAACAAGCACTCAGTCACTGAAACATCGTAGGGTTGATATGGTAGGGTGACCAGACGTCCTCTTTTTCCCGGACATGTCCTACTTTTCATACCTAAATAAAATATCCTTGGGGAATTTAGAAACTGTTCAGGATTTTGGTCGACTATCGTTAATTATCTACAACAATGTAAACTCGGTTTTGCATTCTATGACCCCTTTACATAGAACTTTTCTCACATTTGGGACAATATAGTCTGATAAACAGTACAATTATATAAATTTTTTTAAGCCAGAATGATTTGACATTTAAGTATGACTTCCCTACGACTTTAAAAAAAGGAAAGTTTAATTAGCATTTCTCTCTTGATTAACTGAATGATGTGTTTTCAGGAGAACAACGAGTTGATGGAGTGGTGGAACTCAGTGAAAGGTCGCTTTTCAAACAGTTGTTGATTTAAATCTTTAACTAAATAGAAATATACTTTCTGAGCGTTTAATTTTGTGCTGCTGGTTTTTCCAGGCTGGACTGAGTGGAACGAGACATCAAACTTCCAGGAGGAGGATGAGCAAATGTAAGGGCTTAATTTAAAGGACTTTCCCAAAGGGAACTCATAGCAGGAACTGGTAGATGGTTTATTTTCCTGAGAGTTCTAGTTCCTTTCAGTTGTTTTGTGAGTTATTTGTTGTCCCATCCATCTTTTAGTTTTTTATTGAGCAGGCTTGATGTCTAAACTCTGTTAGCCATAAATCCTGTTGAACTGTCTTCTGTGTTTCTCTGCAGGGCGATGGAGCAGGCAGCGGACCGAGTCTACATGGCAGCCCGGGTCTTCGTGTATCTGTTCAACCAGCGGGGGGCGTCCTTGCAGCAGCGCATCCTGGAACTACTTGCCGTGGCCGACGCCGCAGACGAGTTCCACAAGAAGACGGTGTCGGCAGCTGTGGGTGGAGGCGTGGCCAGCGTGGCGGGCAGCGTGGCCACCATTACCGGGCTCATTCTGGCGCCGTTCACGTTCGGGGCCTCCATCATCGTCACAGCCGTGGGGATCGGCGTGGCGACGGCCGGAAGCATCACGTCGGCCACGGCCAACATCACCGACACGGTGCATTCCAACATGGACCGTAAGAAGGTGGAGAAGATGATCCAGGGCTACCAGGAGGAGATACAGGACATCAGGAAGTGCATGGAGTTTGTTCAGGTGAGGAAGAAACACCAGGAGCAACAGAAACCATTTCTATACGGAAGAACGGGTTCTGTTCTGAAAGCTGCTAAAAGACGTTCAGAGAAAAGATCCAGAACATTTTAGATGTTCACCAGGAAATCCGTCTGATTTAAAGGGAAGTTAGTTCACAGCAGTCGTTGCTATGAACCAGC